GAAGCGGCGGGGAGCTCTTCAGCATCCTTCTCGAGCAGCAGCTGATTGCAAGCGACAAGGTATCGTTTCTTGAAGACTTGCTCGAGAGCATTAAAAGAGAAGATTTGGTCTCACAGTTAAAGCAGTTCGTAGAGGAAGGGGAAGTTAATGCTCCTGATGATCAACCAGATGTGCATGAAAAACGTAGGTGGATTATTTTTTTAATTCCCTTTCCCCCCCCGCCCCAAGCAACTCTCGTAAATCTGTACGTATCCTCGAGCTGTGGGTATGCTTAGAGCAAACACAGAGCGCGGCTGCCCTCAGTTACCTGCTGTAGCTGAGCCCGCTGCTAAGGGTGTTTCTGCTAATAACTGCTGTATGGGACTGTGTTGTACCCTGGAAACGTACCATGAGGGCAACATATGCTGCAAACAGTTTTCCGGAGCAGAAATTTCTTCCCTTTTTTTATCAAATGGTCACTTGGAAATCCTGCTGTGTACTTGGGATTTCGAGTATACCCAGCAGCTTTTCAGACATGGTACGACCTTCAATATGTGCGATGCAGCAAGAGTGGTAGCATTTTGCTAAAAAAAAAAAAAAAAAATTTAAAAAATTGTCTCATATTTCTTAGTAAATCCATCACTAACTTGATATTTTTCTGCTATTTCAGGTCTGCTGAAGGCAGCTATTGAAGTTATATGTGAAAATGTCGGGAGGGAGTGGAAAATGCTGATGCGAAAACTTGGTATTTCTGAAGTGCAAATGGACAGAATAGTGGCAGCCAATCCATTTAATTTGCAGGAACAGGTGGTTCAGTCACTTCGAACGTGGCAGAAATGGAAGGGAAAAGATGCAAAGGTGACTGACTTAATAAAAGCTCTTCGGGGCTGTAATATGAATTTGGTGGCAGACAGAGTTGAACAGAAGCTGAACACTGGAACCACGTGAGATCAATATAAAAACACTTCCACATCCCACAGATATGAATGAAAAAAGTGAAAGTGCCTTTCCTGGATCAAAATCAGTATCATTGGTTCTGTTACTTACTCTGCCATTAACTTACATGCCTTAATAGGTTCATTTGTGGTCAGATGAAGATTAACATAAAAACAAATTCCTTTCAGGTAATGCTTTGTAGTTTGATGCTTCCTTTAAGAGATTTTAACTTTTAGAAGACCTAAACTCCATTTTCTAGAAATTCTCACGCTTTTATTCTACCACCCACCTGAAAACAAGATTTGCTTTACTGCAGGTACTTTTCAGATACATCTTCTCTGAAAATACATCTATGGGATACTTCTGAGGCAACTGTAATTTAAAAATTCATGGGGAGGTTGGATTTTTTTTTTTTGGCAGCCTATTATAACTAGTGTGAAAGGGGGAAGGAATAGACCTCTTAGCAGTGTACTGGGTTTTCTTTTTGAGTAGTGTAAGATAATATCTTCCATAATTTGTCGCATACATTTGCTCTCCGTAAAAGGATACTAAGATGACTGTAACCTCAGGCCATAAGACTGCAGTGCAAGAGGGCTAGTAACTATTGTGGTGGCTTTTTCTTGGCAGAAAATGTGCCTGTGTTGAAAACGAACTAGTTGAAATCAAATGTCTGTATCAAGTGCCTTCATCATCCTGAAGGAAATGTTCTCCTGAAACTATCAAAGAAACTGTGTCTGTCACAGATGTTTACAGCATCCTCTTTTTACTGCCGTGAATGTTTTAACATTCTTTACCAGGAATCCTTTCATAACCTATATCACAGAGTCTGGTCATGTCTGCTGGAAGTTGCAGCTCACCTCATAAGTAAGCTACAGTTATCTGTGCTCTTGGTAACAGAAGTGTGTGCTGTTACACAAAACAAAAACCTAGAAAACAAATTGGTTTCTTTGTAGTGAAGGGGTATGAAAGCCTTCTGAGAGCAAATACAAAGTACTGACTTTCCTCTAGTGATATCCAGTGAAGATGAGCTGTCTTTTGCCACAGTTTGTTCTGTTCCAAGGTCGCTCCAGATCAATAGCTCTTCCAAGTCCTCTGCAATTTTTAGTTCATTCCTGTTTCTTTACATTTTTTGAAAGTGGTTGTAAGCAACTCACAGAGGAAGGAGTAGTTATGAACGAGACCAGATTCAGTTTTCAGCTTTAATTTGGAACAGACTTCAAAAAATGGCCTTCACGCCTAACCTAAGACTGGAAAAATTGCACAAGCTTCAAGACATGCAGGACTGTAGAGGCCTCTGGGGACTATCCCCTATGCGAGGGGGAAAAGTTCCCTGAAATCGTTATTGCTTGAATGAGTAGGATTGTTTGTTACTGCAAACATAACTTCTAACTACATAAATAGATACTTGAAGAGAAGAGGCTTCTTTTTTGCTACTGTACCTGTGTGACTTTTAGCTCCTTTCAAGTTCTTTTTACATGGTGCCATTACCGTGAAGGCTGGGTGTCAGCATAGAATATACCACTACTCTGCATAAATGTTGTGACATGGATAATTTTCAAGTTTTTGTTGCAGTTGGTGCCTCTAGTTTAGATGATGACACTTGAATACTTGATTGTAGTTAATGGAAACTGCTATAATGTGAGCTTACCTTTTCATTAAGGTTCTCCCTTAAATGATTCTCACAAGTATGTTTCTAATCATAGTATATTAAATACCAGTGATTGTGTACAAGCAAAGGAGCAATGGGTAACACAGAAGTTCCCACTTGTCTGCCTTTTGGGCAGGTACAGTTCTCTAAGTACTTGCTCCAGTACTTGTCAGCATCGATTGTCAGTTCCAGACTTCCAGTAGGAGATACAGTGCTGCACTTCACCTAAATGACTAGCTCAAAAGATTTTTGTTTCATAGATAGGGTTTTCATTCTACAGTATTTAAAGAAAATGATTGCTTCAGACTTTTTTCCTTCGTGCCTCTAAGCAATCTTTGTGAGCAGAGGGGAGTAGAGGTGAAGTTAGCGAGATGAATTATGTTGTGGTGAAACAGCTCTGCAACAGTCCCAAGTTCAATCTGTCCAGTAACATGTTTTTGGTATCCACTTTTAAGTCTTTTGGTTCACAGAAGACAGATTTATCTGGAATGTGACAAGAAGTATACTGCCTACTGCATATAACCAGGATATTTTAAGAATCAGTAGGAATAACTTGTTAGCTGTAGCCATCAACTACAAGAAACATTCTGCCTTAGAAGATAAAAAACTCTTGTTTCTTTATGGATTTGTACATAGTGGATGTTTTACTGCATATGAAAGCAATAACCTAGACTGCATCAATCTGTGCAGTACCTCAGGGCCAATTAAAAGCTGTTTTTATTAGAGATTAAAAAGTTGATTATGTGATAACAAAATCAAATGGACCAAAATGGAGCAAAGGGAACAAAAACTTTTTATTGGGAGGAGGGGTAAGGGAAAAGGATGCAATTTGTAAGGAAATGTGTTGTGATCCAGTTAGCAATCTTCTATTTTCAAATGAATCATTTTGGACTCAAATACACATATTTTTATGACTTGAATTCAAGTTTTATATTGTATAATTTTGTGCACATTTCATTAAAAAATACTTCCTTAAAAATAGAAGAAATTGAACTGGTTTTTAATATTACGGGATTGCTGTCTATGATGACATCTCTAATTGGGAGAAGGTAAGTGTTAAGGACACTTCTAAAGCAAGGAGTGGTGCTAAACAGGCGTTACGTTACCAAGGTCCTTCTTGGAACATTAAAAAAAAAAGGCAAAAAACTTTGTCACTGAATTTCTCAGAAGTGCTAAAAAGGCTATAGTTTTCCTAGCAGGAGTAGCATTTGAATGCTGTCACTCAGGGAAGCGTAAGAAAAAATTCTCTGGCAGCCCTCAGGAGCCTAAAATCGAGCCACAGTGCAGCATGTGCATGGGAGACAGGCTGCCTGTGAGTAAGTCCCTTACAATTGTTTTCCTTATTTTTCCTCTGCTAGTCATGCTGTGGTAAGGATGTTGTATTTGGTTTATAATTAAATAAAAACACAGCTTATTCTAAACCTGTTCAGGCTTTTAGAGGATGTGTTCAGAAGTTAAATTGATAGAGGCTGCGGTGTTCTTGAAGTATATACTGGCACTGAAGTGTTAGTGCGCACTTAAAGCTTTGAATGCGTAAGACAAGTAACTTAATTACCCATTTTATCAAATTCTCTATGATGCACGGCAAGAGTATCTGCCTGTGACGAACTACTAAAACCTTTTCCTTTTGGTCTCTTGAGAGTCATGTTTCCTTACAGCCTTGAGAAAACAACACATCAAAACGTGTTGAGAGTAAAAAGTGTCATCTCGGAAGAATTCTCATTTTGGAGGATTGTTTTTCCACGTCGCTTCACAGTCCATTTCAGTACTTGCTTGCCATTTCCTATGATCTTTGAAGATACCAATTATATATTGCATATTAATTTTTTTTAAATTGCATTATTTTCATTACTGAGTTAGAAGGTTTTTAGACTTTTAATTAAAATTCTTCTTATACAAATTGGTTGTCATGAATATTTCAAATGCAATGCTTTGTTTTCCTTTTTCTCCATTAAACACAGACAGCTGTATTTCCTCCAGCCTTTGTTTCAGTCCTAAAATAATTGGCTACTTTCTGAAATCTAATTGCTTCATTTAATTGTCTAATGCAAAAAAGCTTAGTAACACATGGGGTATCTCCGAGCTCTCTAGCGCTCAGCAGGTTCTTAATTCAGGCTTTTTGGTTGAGTATTTTTCAATTTAAATTTATTTCTAATCACTGTGTGTCTTTCACAATTATCAGAAGGTGGTTTGTGCTATTCTTCCCATTCCCTGCATGGATCACCTATGTCCTTAAAATGTGTTCCAGCATGGAAAATATTTTTCTAAGTTGTTTTCCCTCTTGATTTGTTACTTCTTTTCTCTGCCAGTGTTTTTATTGCAAGGGTGCACTGGTAGAATTATAGAAACTAGTTCACTGTTTCAACCGTATACCATAAAAATAGGAATTGTGGGGATGAGCTGAGGGGTAGGGGAAGGAGGTTTGAGTAAAGGTTCAAGAACATTTGAAGAATCTATCTTTGTCTTCATAAAAATTTTCATAGCTAAGGGTTACTTAACATTAAGAGGGTGTGTTGCAATGGGTTCTGGGAATTGCAGGTTTAGAGACAAGGAATCACAGCTTTACTCAGCTGCTGGGAAAGCGCAGATTAATGCAGGCTTCTGCGTGGGAGTCTGCGTGGGATAAACTTACAGGCACTCTTAATGATTAAATAGGCATAAGTTTCATCCACAGAGATATTTCTGCTACTGTTTCATTTTTGAGAGCGTTGCACATTCATTTCTTAAAACAGACTAAAAATAAAATAACACAGGTTTGTTCTTGTAAAATTTTATGTGATATATGTTATTAAAATATGTTAAGTTGGTAATACTGGTTGAGTTTAAATTGGGCAATTCCTGTGATTTGATCAGTGTTGGAAGTTGAAAACTTTTTCATTGTTTTCCGAATAACGCTATGTGTACAGTTCTTCTCGTGTGGATGGTAACGTAGCTTTCCTTTCTTTGAGCTTGGGGTTTAGTTTGTCAAAGAAAAAGGTAATGCTGTCTTTCTGGCAGGACGCAGTACTTAAGACAGCTTTCAAAGTAACTAGCTATTGTAGCAAAGTTAAGGTTTTTGTATGTATTCTTTAAGACCGAAGAGATTGCTGTATAAAAACCAACATCTATAAAAGAGGTTTTGAGGATTACATCTCCAATGCAATGTAGTAAGTACCTTTGCTAAGGAAAGCAGCTTAATGTCAGCTTTGTATGTCTAATGTTTCAAAAAGTTATCAAACTGGCATTTTTATTTACTCCATAGTGTTCAAGCCTTCAGACCAGGCTCTTGTGCTGTGTGAAGTTACACAGAGATAAAATTGGACCATTGTCATCAGAGATGTAAAAAACATCCAACTGGGATTTTCTGTGGTAGGCATTTTATTTA